GACTCCCTGGAAAAGCCCCTGATGTTGGGAAAGTGTGAAGGCAAGAGGAGAAGGGGACGACAGAGGACGAGATGGCTGGACAGGGTCACCGAAGCGACCAACATGACTTTGACCCAACTCCGGGAGGCAGTGGAAGACAAGGAGGGCCTGGCGTGCTCTGGTCCATGGGAGTCACGAAGAGTCAGACACGACTAAACGACTAAACAACAACAAAGTGGCTCCAAAGATGAAAATCCATGTATTCAGACTTGCATATTTGTATGCAAACAGCCAGAAAAACAAAGAAACGGATCCCAGAGCAAATTGAGCCTGAACTCTTTCAGGATGCAAAAATGTTGAAAGGGCAGCTGTCCTACTTTGGGGCACCTTCAGAGAAGGCAGGATTCTCTGGAAAGGGGGGACGGCGGTAGAGAGGAAGGTTAAAGCACACCGCTTTGCGCCAACGTTTGCTCAAAATGCAAGCGCAGGACTTGTGTTCCCCTCACAGTCTGTTCCTGTTAGATACCGTTACACTGGAGGAACAACTCTACAAGTCCATTGGCTTGCTGGATTCTTCCGGATCCTTTTCTCTTTGAGCAATCATTTAAACTGAAGAATATCCCCGGACACCCCAACTTCAAACAGAGGACTGTCCTCAGCAAAACAGAACACATGGCCACTTGAAATATACGTTCCAGGCACGCTTCCGGACTGGTGTGGAAATCTGGTGAAGATTCTATTTACATTCAACCCAGGATTCAGATGTTAATTAAGTTCTTGAAGTCACACCAAGACTTTTTAAAAAACATTGTTCATAAAAAAAACCTTTGAATTGGTTTTGGCGTAATATTAAAACTCTAGCTTTATGAGAATGTCACAGCACCCCCCTAGAGTCGTACACTTTACTCTCCTCTTATCTGTTCCATCGTGACCTCTATGGAACCTTTTGCTTCTCCTTTTCTCTTAATTAACCACATCTTACTGTGTTGCTGAACCTGAATAAACTGAGGTTAATCTCAGCTATGGCAAAGGGTGGAAACAAGTCAATTTCAAAGTGTAGTTCAAGAAGCAGAGCTGTTTCCACTAAGAGGGAAGAACCACAATTCTTCCCTAGATGATAGGATAAAACTGCAGTTCATTCCTTATTATATTTGCTTTATCTTTATTTACATCTAGGTCATCCTATAGTATAGAATTTGTTAGATGTGGATAACATGAAATCCCACCAACAACAACCACTTACTCCCCCGGACCAGAATGATTGAAAGGAAGTATGCTCAACAAAAGAGGATGTGGGTTTAAAAAAAGACTGAGAAAAACTGATTTAGCACTGTCTGAACGAGTCAATATCTAGTCTTCATTCTTTTATTCTGCTGTGTACTGTTTCTAGTGATCTTCATAACTCTACTATTTAGTGTTGTTTTACAAAATTACATAATTCCATTCTCTTATCATGAGTTAAGAGCCCTTGTGTTGGATCTTATTTACAACTTAAATAAGCTACTTCTGTTCTATTGTCACACCCCTTTTCCTGTGATAGTATTTCTCAAGATTCTTTAGGCTTGAAATACACCCTTCAACCATGTGGGTCCCTCCAGCTATTTTGGCCTACAACCCCAGCCTGCCCTATCATAATCAGATCATGCTGGAGGAGTCCAATGGAAGATATTCCACAAAAGCCACACAGACTAATCGGTGCCACAAAACATTCAGTTTGGCCTTTGATTAAGTTAACATGGCTATTTTTCTAGAAGACAACTTGAGAATTGTATCTTTTTTGGACTACGACCTCCAGAATCCACATCAGCATGGCCACTAACTAGTGATCACAAACTCTACAGGGGAAACAAGGGTTGAAGCACTCGTTTGTGACAAAATAGGTGCTGCATGTCAATTTCAACAGATTTAAGGATGGCTGGATAGCTCAATGATTCAGGTCTCTGCCTGGGAAGCCAGAAGTTGGAGGTTTGACTTCCCAATGTATATTCATTAGAGACAAATGTTACCTAGTTTTACCCCTGTTCAATCACTGTAGAAATTCCCAGTCACACAATGCAAGGACATTATTGAATCATTTATCCCCACCCGTGGTATAACTAGCAGTTTTATTTCCATCTTGCCGGGAGGCTTCTGTTATTTTGTTCTGAATGGGGTTTAAATATATTCCTCAGTGGTATAAAATATGTGCCCGACCCTATTGATTATTTTCCAAAGCCCAATCCTGGGGGAAAGTGGTTGCTATTACCGCCAACATGGCTGGCCTGCTATAGTTTTTTTTTTTAAATGCACAGCCTGTATGTCAATATGTAGGTAAATGTATGTTAATGCTCAGGTATGCCAGTGCACTGTGTTGTATCGCTCCATCTACTGTCTGGCAAGTGATACAGATCCAGATGTGTTTGCTTGGTCCATTGAGCGCAACACAGTTCCTCCAGAGATGCCGGTGCAACAGCGGAAATTTTACCAAACAATAGGAACCCCTATTCGACATATCGATGTATCGATAATTTCTTTCTATTTAAAGTCAGGGGCTACAGTGCCCCAGAAAACAAGAGAGAAAATAAATCGGTACCACGGTGTAGCCGGCAGTAATGCTTCAAATAGGAGAAAACAAATCGGTAACCTCGATGTATCGTTAATTTCTTTCTATTTAAAGTCAGGGGCTACAGTGCCCCAGAAAACAAGAGAGAAAATAAATCGGTACCACGGTGTAGCCGGCAGTAATGCTTCAAATAGGAGAAAACAAATCGGTAACCTTAAAACACATCGGGATGTTAATTCAGGTGTGTCTATCACGTGATCACGATTCAGTGGAACAAAGGTATGGAAAATATTGTTAGAACAGGGGGAACATTTCCCTGGTGATCTTGGCCTGTGTCTCTTTGACAGCAGCTGGACCTGACAATCTGCTTCTAAGATTATTATTAAATTCCACACCTTTTTGTTGAAGACACAGAAATGGCTTCGCTTTCTTTCTCTGCCCACTCTGCTGATTTAACAAAACAAGATCTCTCTCTTTAGCCCTTCCTTTTTTTCCCCTCTGGCTAAATACGACCCAAACTCCACCCAGCAATAAATATATGCCTTTATTGGTACTGCTTTGCTCAGTTGCTTTTAAAGGAAAAGGGATCCCTTAAATGGGTATGTCAACGAAGAACGGTTTGTTCACCAGCTGAGGGCGGCCGTTAGGAGAGATGCACGGGGTTAGATGCGAGGATCCAATTAGTGACAGAAAAGGTCAACATGCTCCTTCAAAACTGCCAGAAGTGTCACACATTTTGCACGGATGGCTAAACCTTCGCTGACAGCACGCGCAGGGATTTGTAAGGAAACAAGACAGAGAGCCTCGATTATGCCAGCCTGGATCAGAAGGGGATCAGTTTCGACACGGATTGGTATCTAACATTGGGTGGTGGGTGACAGCTGATCTCTCTGGAGGGCAGGTCTTTGTGCTGCCATTTAAAAAAAAAAACCCAAAATAGACAAGGAAGCTCCAAATTCCAGAATGACGAGAAGCGAGCTTCCCCTAAATGGAGCAGGAAGTGGTACCTCCTGGTGGCAGCTGCCGTAATGTAAACCTGCCACCAAATCCTTTGAGTTCTGCCCTACAAGTTTCTTGATCTTAAGGATTCCCCCTTCTGGCTCAACTTTCCCCGAAAGAGGTCTACCCGCTCCAGCTTGCTACCAACTTTTCTTTCTTCCAATCCTTTTCACACATTGTGGTCGTGTGTTCCACATACAGGCATAAATGCTAGCAAGAAAGGATGGATGAAGTTGGCCAACATCCTCAGATGGAGAAGATGGGTTGCCAGACAAGTCAGAACTCTTTTTAATCCCACCCTAGAGTTCTAGGTGGTGCTGGAGGAGGTTCTTGAGAGTCCCCTGGGCTGCAAGGAGACCAAACCTATCTGTTCTGAAGGAAATCAACCCTGAGTGCTCCCTGGAAGGACAGATCCTGAAGCTGAGGCTTCAATACTTTGGCCATCTCATGAGAAGAGAAGACTCCCTGGAAAAGACCCCAATGTTGGGAAAGTGTGAAGGCAAGAGGAGAAGGGGACGACAGAGGATGAGATGGTTGGATAGGGTCACCGAAGTGACCAACATGAATTTGACCCAACTCCGAGAGGCCGTGGAAGACAGGAGGGTCTGCGCGTGCTCTGGTCCATGGGGTCACAAAGAGTCAGACATGAATAAACAATGACAAGAGTTCTACTGCCCAGCATTTTCTCTTGGGTACACGTTGCGAAATGCAATCTTTGAGACGGAATGAAAATATTTGCTGAAGGCATCACCACGCTCTGTTGGGTGTAGCTCCTTGCCCACCCAAACAGCATAACTCTGCATGAAGCTCCTCACCCATGCACGCTCAACATGTTTTCAACGTTTTTACCTTCCAATTAGGCATGGAATCCGCAGGCATTCATGAAACCACCTACAGCTCCGTCACGAAGGGCGACAATGACATTCGGAAGGACCTCTGGGCTAACAACGTCCTCTCGGGTGGCACGACCATGTATCCTGGCATTGCCAACCACACGTACGAGTCAATCACAGCTTTGGTCCCCAGCACCGTGAAGATCAAGGTGAGCTCGGCAAACAGGCAATCTGGGCATTAACGTCCAGCGTTCCTACAGCTGTAGCAGAGATGCAGACACCCTACCACCCCGGTTTGGGGTGGCTGTACTATGTGCACAGTTTTTTTGTTCAGGCTTTGGCACTGGCAAGATCTTGGTAGAGAGGCTGCACTGTGGATCCTCTGGCATGCTGTGAGTTTTAAGTTCCAACTTCTGCAAAGCAGCATACTTGGGTCTGGTAGACTTTTAAGAGCTTCGCTGTCAAAGAAGCCGTGCCCTTATCAACCTCTTTCAACCTGAAGATCAGCGCAGGAGGCCCCGATCTGGTGTCTCTCCCTAGTTCAGCTCAGACGGCAGACACCAGGGGTGATGCTTAATCCATCAACATCACACTTGTGTATTTGTTCCTTCTACTCCACTATCAAAACATCAAGTAAGCTTTCTTGCTGCCGTCAGATGCTGTAAAGATATCTTTATTCAAGAAAACCCATGTGAGAAAAAAAAAATCACCTTGTCACCAAACCTCTTAGATTCTGTTTTGAAACATTTTATGTCTATAAGTGTGCCTCTTTGAACTCTTTCTACTATTGATGTTAAGTCAAAAAGCTTATCGCTGTATTCATCATCTCCTTGCAAAGCCACCGATCTACCACCAAGCTCCCTTCCCACGACATCCGGATGTGGTTGATGACAGATGAATCAGATTTGCTGGTATCCCCATTTCTAATTCTATGGGATAAGTGCCTATAGCAGTGCCCCTAAACACATCTACCCGGCACTAAGCCCCATTAAAATGTAGGGGGTTTACTTCTGAATAGACATATACAGGATTGCAATGGATCTCTCTTGTTAATCCTGGGACATGCTACACACCAAACATATGCTCTGTTACTCATCTCTGGCCAAATCCAGCTCCAGATAATGTCAAAATAATCATATCATAGAATAATTGAGTGGGAAAGAGCCCATAAGGCCATTGAGTCCAACCCTTGGCTGAATCCAGGAATCCAAGTTTAAATATATCCGACAGGCGGTTGTCCAATTTTCTCTTTGAGTGCCTCCAGCACTGGATCACTCCCCACCTCCTGAGGTTACTGGCTCCATTGTCGTACCGCTCTAACAGTTAAGAAGTTTTTCCTCATACTCAGCTGAAATCTGGCTCCCTCTAACCTCAGCCCATTCTTACATGTCCTGAATTATGGGATAATCTAGATTCTGCCCTTCCTCTGTAGGACTACCTTTCAACTGGGATAATCTAGATTCTGCCCCTCCTCTGTAGGACTACCTTTCAAATATTTGAAAAGTGCTCTCCTATCTTCCCTCCGTTTTCTTTTCTCGAGGCTAAATATGCCCAGTTAGTTCTCTCCACCTTTCCTCCTAGGGCTTGGTTTCCAGCTCCTTAATCATCCTTGTTGCCTTTCTCTGAACTTCTTCCATCTTGTGGGCATCTTTCTTAAAGCGCAGTGTCCAGAATTGGACACAGTACTGAAGCTTGTGGGTATCTTTCTTAAAGTGCAGTGTCCAGAATTGGACACAGTACTGAAGATGAGGCCTGACCTGCACTGAATAGATCTCCCCTCAAAGAACTCAGTCTTATTTTTAAAAAAAGCTCAACATCCAGTCTGAGTGAGGCATACCAAAGACAAAGGCCTAATTATGCAGAAGCAGACGGCAATTAGAAACATACCAGTGAATTCCTCCGGGCTACCTTTATTGTCGAGGTTTGTTGCCACTACAGTGGTGCCCCGCAAGACGATGATAATGTGTTCCACTGAAATAGCTGTTTAGCGAAATCATCGTCCTGCGAAAAACATTTCCCCATTGGAATGCATTGAAAACCATTTAATGAGTTCCAGTGGGAAAAATAGTTGTTGTTGTGCGAAGATCGCCCATAGGGAAGCCATTTTAAATCGCTGTCTTCCGAAGCATCGTTCCGAAAACACCCTAGGGAAGTCATTTTGCGGAGCCGCCGATGAGCTGTTGAATTGTCCTCTTGCTAAGCATCGGTCCCAAAGACCCTAGGGAAGCCATTTGCGGAGCCGCCGATCAGCTGTTGAATCGTCCTCTTGCTAAGCATCGGTCCCGGAAAAAAAAAGCGTCTGGCGAAGCACGGACCGAAACGTCGTAAAGCGAAATTCCCCCATAGGAAACACTGTTTTGCAAAGCGCAATGGTGGTCGCAAAACCTTGTCGTCATGTGGATTTGTCGTTTTGCAAGGTCGTCGTCTTGTGAAGTACCGCTGTACTTAGTTCTGTTTCAGCTTATCTATTGGTCTGTATTCTATTGATTTGTTGGTTGGTTTCATTTATTATGATTATATTGTTTTCTGGAAGGAGGGTTGGGTATACGTTATGTGGTAAGACCGCCCAGAGCGGTGGGTCTGGCGGTATAGAAATGTTGGAAACAAGTATTAAAAATAAAACCCCTCCCACACACTGATTTAGAAATAAAACTCTAGGGGAGGAACATGCATACATACATGTGTATGTATACGTAAACAGAAAATGAGAACTAACACCTCAGTCACAATTTTTCTGGACCTGTTTAAGGGATGCAGTAAATCACTAAAATATGCACATACAGTGGGGTCTTGACTTAAGAACGGCTCGAGTTAAGAACATTTTGACTTAAGAACCGCTCTCATAGGAAAATATTGACTTGACTTACATACTTAGATTTGAGTTACGAACTGAAAAAACCCACGTGGGAGGCAGGGAAAGTGCAAAATTTGAACTTTCAGTTAACTGTTGGCCAGTGAAAAGGGTGCCTGTCTGCTTCCTCACTCCTCCCAGCGTTTAGAGAGTTTTAGAAATAAAACTCTAGGGGAGGAACATGCATACATACATGTGTATGTATACGTAAACAGAAAATGAGAACTAAACAGGTCCAGTCACGATTTTTCTGGACCTGTTTAAGGGATGCAACAAATCACTAAAATATACACATACTTATTAAGAGTGGCTGACAAACAGAAGCATTTAAGTCACTTCAGCAAATATGTATTTGCTTTTTTAAAAAACTCCTCTTACCTCAGATCATTGCTCCACCTGAACTTGAGAACCGCCTTCCAATACAGATTAAGTTCTCAAGTCAAGACCCCACTGTAATTATTAAGAGTGGCTGACAAACAGAAGCACTTGAGCAAATACGCATTTGCTTTTTAAAAAAAAACTCATCTCTTACCTCAGATCATTGCTCCACCTGAACAGAAATACTCTGTCTGGATTGGTGGCTCCATCCTGGCATCTCTCTCTCATTCCCCTTTCCAGCAAATGTGGATCAGCAAGCAAGAGAGCGGTGAAACAGGGGCTTCGATTGTCCACAGGAAGAGTATCTCAATTAGCCTTTTTTCTTCCCATGCCCACGTTTCCTTTCATGCTTCAGCCATCATCATCTCTTATCCTAAAATTTATGTTGCTTTTTTGTTCACGATGAGCAAGAACCAGTCCTTTTGCACACACTCACACCCAAAAAAACACCCCACAATGTTGGGAAATCTACTCATAAATAAAACTAAAAGATTTCCAGAGTCTCTTTCGTCCTTCCACCAAAGCGGTTGTCCAACACCTGCAGCAGACACAGCGCTCTCCGAGTCCTAAAAGCCCCAGTGTCATTAAAGAAAAAAAAATTATCAGGAGCAATTTTTAAAAAGAACATCCTTCTCTTCACCCGCTCTGAATTCCTTTTTTTAAAAAAATCCCTCCTTAAGTAAAATAAACAGAAGTTTTACATCAAACTGTTACGTGAGGAAATTTCTATTTCACGGCTCACTATAGCATGCCAAACACGAAAAGGCTGCTGGTATAGTTTGGTTCGCAATCACCCTTTCCTTCTACACGAATACCTGAAAATTACAGAATCCAACAACCCAGGATTTCTGCTTTCCGTTAAAGGGAACAAGGAAGGTTCTGGTCTTCATGGATGCAGAGGCAAGCGGGTGGGGAAGACGGCAGAAGGCCTGCCGTGGGCATGAGAAAGCAGCAGCAGCACTTTCTCAGCTTGATACGACTCTCCAGACCACTGGCTCCCAAATATGATGTTCTTGGACTACACCTCCCAGAAGCCTTCACTACTAGCTGTGTTGGCCAGAATTTCTGGGAGATGTAGTCCAAGAACATCTGGAAAGCTTAGGTGGGGAGCCATTGCTCTAGACCAGTGGTGTCCAACCTTGGCCCTCCAGATGTTCTTAGACTACAGCTCCCAGAAGCCTTCACCACCACCTCTGCTGGCCAGGATTTCTGGGAGTTGAAGTACAAGAACATCTGGAGGGGCAAGGTTGGACACCACTGCTCTAGACCATGCAAGATCACTTTCTTACATTGGGTTTCCTTTTCCAGGTGTGGGGGGGAGGCAAGGGAAGAGAGGAGGAGGGGATGCCCCCAAACACACCACACTGATAGCAACCCCCTGCCTGCTCTTGGCTCTAAACCCACCCATTGTTGGCGGCAGTCCCTCTCCATTCTTCCTCCAAGCACTCACAGCCCTTTCTTACAGAAAAAGGTCTCCTGCTCCTGGCTTTCCACATGGTCAAGCTTTTTTTTTCTCATCCTTGTTCATCAGCAGAAAAGGCCCAACGAGCACGACGGATGAAACCAGACAGTTCCTCGCCTGCAGACTTGGGGGGGTCTAAAGAGACACGACGCATTAAGGAAGGAGGAAGAAAGCGGGCGAGGGGAGAAAACCGATCTGAGCCTGCGGCGGGTCAAGTTAAAGGAGTGTTTTTATTTATAATAACCCACTGACCTGGAAAGAGGCTCAGGCCAAGAACTGGCTGGTCCTGCAATGGGACTTGTGGGCAGTCTTGATTCCTAGGCTGAGATGGGCCGGGGATCCATTGCAAATTCATGGGCAGAGAGGCAGGGCCGTAGGTATGACCGGCACCGTTTTTCCCTACGGGTCGCACCTGGTGTGTCCCTGTGAATATTCAGCAAACGTTAGTGAGTTATAAACAGGGCTTAGAAGCCACAAGCCAGCCTGTGAGGTGTTCATTTTGGGATATGAGGTTACTAACAAACAACCTTTTGCCAAACAATATAAAGTTCTGGGAGGAAGAAAGAATCCATTTCAGGAATATACACACCTGCTTGCTTGGCGCATACCTGAGTTAATAACTGTGTTAAATTGCCGGTGAAAAGCGTTCCAGGGGTATGACTAAGTCACATAGTTTTGGGACACAGTATTGCAAAGAACTGGGGCGCTTATCCATTTATTCAATTAATGCCCTGCCTTTCTGCTTACATGTGGCAGTCAAGAGGGTCAATGGTGAGTTCTGTTAAAAGGTACCACCAATTATTTAGGCAGCAGATTGTCTGCCAGTTCACACATACACACATAACCATCTGCCCATATAACATCATATCCAGACGCATTGCCTCGTCTTGTCTAGAAGGGCAAGCGCCTCTTTTAAATCTGTCATTTAAACAGAACGGGTGTGACCAGAACTTGGGGCAGTAACCTAGTATACACCTCTAAAAATGGGAAATCCTTCATTTTCAATCAAATTCACCACAAGTTTCCCTTCCAAACAGCTGACAAGAAAAGTAGCCTCCAGAAGGATGGCAACAAGGAAGACACAGCTCAGAAGAGGCCATGAACATGATGGGCGTCTCTCTTACCCAATGTTCCCATAAATTCCGCAGACTATCAGGAGAAGGCTGGCAACAAGGAAGACAGAGCTCAGAACAGGCCATGATGGGCGTCTCTCTTACCTAATGTTCCCATAAATTCCGCAGACTATCAGCACACACCTCCAGACAGACCATCCATGAGGAAATGGGGGCCCTTTAATGCCGATGAAATAAGCATAGGGATTACAAGCTCCGAAATCCAGGAAGGAAGGAGAAAGAGGTCAACGCTTACTATTCCTTCTCATTATGAGCAGGGGGGAAAAATAGAATTACAGTGGTGCCTCACTTAACAATTGCCTAGTTAAACGACAAAACCGCTATACGATGACTGTTTTGCGATCGCTGTTTTAATAGGCAAATTTCGCTTCCCGATGATTGGTTTCCTGCTTCGGGAACCAATTTTTCGCTAGACGATGCTTTTAAAACAGCTGATCAGTGACTTCAAAATAGCCGCCTGCTGTGTAAAATGGCTCCCCGCTGTGTTTTTGGACGGATTTCTCGCTTTACAGGCACCGAAAATGGCCGCCCCTATGGAGGATCTTCACTGGACATTGAGTTTTCAGCCCACTGGAACGCATTGAATGGGTTTTCAATGCGTTTCAATGGGATTTTTTATTTCGCTTAACGAAGATTTCACTCTACAGCGATTTCGCTGGAACGGATTATCCTCGTTAAGCAAGGCACCACTGTATACACATTCTAAGTCTGCCTACCTGACCTTAATGCCTGCCAACTGTTACCAAGCTAGTTCTGTCCTAAGCTCTTGGTTGAACTGTCCAGGAATGATGGAATGTGTGGTTCAGAACATCTGGAGAGTACGCACTCAGGAAAAGGCTACTGCAATCTTATGTTCCCACAAGTTTGCTCAGAGGTTGTATAATCCAAAGTTCTCTGCAAAAAATTCAAAGACAAGTTGTCTTTTTAAAGTGCAGGCTACACCCGACAGACAGGTCAAGAGGGACTGGAAAAAGCTTGGGCTATTGAGTCAGTGTGCACTTTATAAATGCGAATTGTGGGGGGAAAAAAGAGACCGGGTTGTTATAAATGCGAATTGTGGGGGGAAAAAAGAGACCGGGTTGCTTTCAACCTCCCAAGACTGGGAGAAACAACACACAACTACACAGTAAAGCTAGACACATTTTACACAACCTTCTATAGACTGGTGTTTATTTTCAGCATACAAATGAAACTTTTTTTAAAAAAAAGTCTGTTTGTTCCCTTTGATTCCAGTGAAAGTTCTTTTGTAAAAAAAAAGGTGGTTATCTTAAAATTTATGCTTGAAACATGAAAGACAGAAAAAACCAACCACATAAAAATGCAAACACAAATAGGGCAGATGAGGAAAAATAAAACAACACACTAGACACATAGAAGTATACAATGCAGAATTATTACAACTTAAAATATAAAGTACTAAGCATGCCCAATCCGGGGACGAGGGAGAAAGAGAAACATTTTTTTGGAGATCAGGGAGCCGAATAACAGGCAGCCCACGTGTTCAATAAAGCTAAATGTCATCCTCAAAGGATATTTATCAAGAGGTGGGCCCAGTGAGTATAACCATTTTCCAAAAGTTGCAGACCTGGAACTTTCTGTAAGGTTAGCCCTACGTTTCAAACAGAAGTACGAACTCAACCCACAACAGTTTTGATTTTTAAAGCATTTCAAAAAAATAATAATAATAATGCAGAAACCTCTTCGAGTAAGAAAAATCCAGTGATGCCTTAGAAGAAGTAACTCGGTGATGTGTGTTACAGTAAGAGTTTGTGCGTTTTCCCATCTTGTCTTGGGTTTTTTAAAAACAAAATATGGATTAAGTGATGATCCTTGAGATGTTAGAGGAGGGAGAAGAAAAGGCAAATGGGCCTTTGACTCTCAAGGGTTATTTTTGTAGGAGGGGGAGCAGGGGGGGAGAGACACACACCAAGAATAAGAAATGCTGAATCCACCCCAAAAAAAGGACAAAACTCCCTTTATCTCAGCTTTGTTTTGCTCTAACCAGGAGCAAACAAACACTGGGCACATGATGAACAGCCATGATGGACAATCATCATCATCACCCCTGAAATGCGAAGCTGGAAGGGACCCCTCTGGATCGTAGAGTCCAGTTCCTCTCCAGGAAGCCGAGTGGGGGATTCAAACTCCCAACCTCTGGCTCGGCAGTCAGAGAGACCCTCACCACTGAGATACCCAGACCAGGCACTGACTAAAGGACTTCCCAGGAGGATGGAGGGGAGAGCCTAGGGTGCCTTCCCAACCCAAGCAGCGACGGCTCAGGCACTGTCCTACAACAGGGTAAATACCTTTTTTGATACACAGCCTGCCTGGATCCGGAGGAAACAGCCATCTGTGTTCGCCCAGATAAAAAAATTGGGCAAACGGTGACCCTCCAAAGAAAAAAGGGGCCACTTCCCTGAGATGGAAGCAATGTCCTGAAATGGCAGCTGGTGGTAAAAAGCTCTGTCTGGAGGAGAAACAGAATAAGGGGCAGGAATTCCTCCAGCAGCTGACGGGGCTGAGCAGGAGCAGCAACAGCCATTATGACCTGGCCAGGGAATGGGGGACAGCAGGACAAATCAAAACATCTGCAAGCCGTTCCGCCAGGAGAGGAAAGCCATCGGCTGGCGCTCAGCAAACCAGAACGCATGTTCCTAAATGGCTTCCATGTAGGAGGGTGGTCTACCAGGACAGCTTGTAGGAAGACATGGCCAAGGGAGATCCCATCAGCAGCATTCAGGTCATCCACTAGGATGCGTGCAGGAAGGACTTTTCTGGGGTTTTAATTGCAAAGGCTGATCCCAGATCTGGTGTGTGGTTGGGCCTCCGATGGAGCTCACATCTCATTGAGGTGGAAAGGCATGTGATGTTCCATGTCGTTAAATCCCTTATAACGGTGGGAAGATGATGGGATGAATAAACAGCAGAAAAGTCAACCCTTGGTCTCAGCGAAGCAGCTGACGGGGCTGAGCAGGAGCAGCAACAGCCATTATGACCTGGCCAGGGAATGGGGGACAGCAGGACAAATCAAAACATCTGCAAGCCGTTCCGCCAGGAGAGGAAAGCCATCGGCTGGCGCTCAGCAAACCAGAACGCATGTTCCTAAATGGCTTCCATGTAGGAGGGTGGTCTACCAGGACAGCTTGTAGGAAGACATGGCCAAGGGAGATCCCATCAGCAGCATTCAGGCGATCCATGGGGATGCACGTAGAAAGGACTTTTCTCGGGGTTTAATTGCAAAGGCTGATTCCAGATCTGGTGTGTGGCTGGGCCTCCGATGGAGCTCACATCTCACTGAGGCAGAAAGGCATGTGATGTTCCACATTGTTATATCCCTTATAAGGATGGGAAGAAGATGGGATGAGTAAATAGCAGAAAAGTCAACCCTTGGTCTCAGCGAAGCTTTGGTGCAGCATAAACACGAGGCTTCAGAAAACATCACCACCATCCGCGCCACCTCTTGACTGGGGTTCAGAAGTGCCACCCATCGCCTACGACCTTCGAAATCAAGACCAAAAGGGAGTGCAGGACACGCTACCTGAACAAAACTTCCCTTTGGCTCTGCTCCTTCAGCCAGGCCTTTCTGCCCCCCCCCCAGGTTTTCCTAAATGGCTTCCATACTCCTAACGGATGGAAGCAGTTTTTTTTCCAGGCTGTGTGCCGCTGATCCGACTCAGCTTGCAGGCTTGCTTATAGCTTGATTTGGTCAAAGAGACAGCCTTGGAGATCCAACCAAGAGCTAACTGCGTGGACGCTCCGGCTACATCAATACTTTCTGCCATGAACTGACACGGAAGGGAGAAAGGTTTGGGCGCAGAATGGCCATCGGTACGTAGCTGGTTCTAAAGCCTATTAGGAAGCGCTCCGCTTGCAACACATGCTGGAGATACCCAACCAAAGGTACGAGGGCCAGAAAAGGTCTAATTCAAGGTAACTCGTTTAAAGAACAACGTCCAATGCACTACACAATTAGCATCTGTGGCCAAAGAGCCAATGATTGCAACGTTCATAGAAAAAAGAGAGGGAGAGGATCATACCACTGCAAAAGAAAAGTCACGTATTTGGATCAGTTAGTCCAATAAGAATCTGAAAGAATGTACAAAAAGCCAACTTTTCATGCACCTTTAAACTTGTAGAGCGAGATTCCTCCGTAAAGTGAGAGCCATTTCATTTCTCCAGAAATGTAAAAAAAAATTTTTTTAAAAGGCCAGTTGCTTGGATCCACATTTTAAGTTCAAAGTCACAGGTAAGCCAGGTCTAGTGTTAATGCCCGAGAGTCAGGTGTGACTTCAGTTTCCAAAGCCTCCCAACCTGGAGGAAGATCTTTCACCCTGGGGATTCAGGATGGAGAAGCAGAGTCCTCTGGTTCTGGCTTGGGAGCCCAGCAAGGAACGGAAGGGCAGGGACAGAGGAAGTGGGGGGGGGCAGATCAGGCAGTAAAGGACGAAGAGAAAGGCAAGGCTTGAACGGAGAGCATGAGGTCCTTCCGGAGAGCAAAGGAGAACCTTAATGGCAGCAGCCGCCACAGTGACTCCCCAGGTGAGCGTGTTGACTCTCACCAAATTTTGTTCTCCGGCTGAGAATTTCGTAGGAACAGTCGTCCCCGCAGCAGCCGGACATGCTGGGCGAGGTGTCGTCAATTTCAAACCTGCAAGAGCGAGATGGAAGTTGGAAGACATGCAACACAAGAGTGGCGTCAGCCGGTATTTAATAGACAGGGAGAAATTCACAACCACAGAGCTTAGGGGCCTTGCCCAGTTGAACCATGTAGCCCTTCATACGGCCACCGGTCCTCCTTATACAGGAACAGAGCCAAAACGCCTCCGTGAACAAGCCATCCAAAAGCATGCATCCACTTTTTTACTAAATTAGCATTTTTAAAACTGTTTATTTAATGTATTCCTATCCTTCTTGGCCTGTGAGGGTCCCGGAAAGTGATGTACGAAACAAAACATAAACAAAACCATCTCCCTTTTAAAAAGCAAAGACCATTTTTGAAAAAAATCAATTTCTAAAGATGACCCCCTTCTGACTTTCTGTGCAAAAAAGGTCGCCCAACATCCACTCTTTAGCACAACTCGGCAGGAATAAGCACAGAAAAACCTTCCTAAGGCCTGGCGGTGAGAGCCAAGAGGAGGTAGCAGTTAAGTCCGAGACCATGTTTTCAGAGATCTAAGTTGAAGTCCTTCTGTTCTCTTCTAAGAAAGGACCGTGATATAGAGAGCAAAGAGAAACATGAGGGGGCTGAAGCTTATCTGAGAAAGCCATCCCTCGGGTTTCTGGACGCTCTCCCCAATGCCAGTGCCACAAGACAGCTGTAACTATTAGGACATGCAGAAAGACAACTCCATGATGGATCTCTTCTATGCCTGGACCTCAGCTCCAGTTCAGATTAAAGATACCAAAGCCATTCGTATCTCCCTTTAACTGACAAGGACATATATAGTAGAACCAGGGCATCCCTGGGAAATCAGCGCCAAGCCGCACAGAAGTACAGTGGCGCCTCGCTTCACGACTGCCCTGCATTACGACGAATCCGCTTTATGACCATCTTTTTGTGATCGCAATTGCGATCGCAAAACGATGGTCTGAATGGGGGAATTTTGCTTTGTGGTGATCGGTTCCCTGCTTCGGGAACCGATTCATTGCAAAACGATGATTTTTCAACAGCTGATCGGCGGTTTCAAAATGGCCGCCGGGTGCTTAAAATGGCTCCCCGCTGTGTTTAGGGACGGATTCCTCGCTATACAGGCAGTGAAAATGGCCCCCATATGGAGGATCTTCGCTGGACGGTGAGTTTTAAGCCCACTGAAAGGTTTTCAATGCATTTCAATGGGCTTTTTATTTTCACTTTACGATGTTTTCGCTTAACGTCGATTTTCCTGCAACAGATTATCGCCGTTAAGCGAGGCACCACTGTATCAAACATTCTACAATCCATGGTCTCTGGCGCCCTCTAATGCCCAGTTCTTGTAAATACATTTTGGAAAGACATATAAATATGTATTTTTGAGTTTTTTAAATTTAGTATTTTCAGGCAGCAGGTAAGGAATCAGTGGCTACTGATCCGGTGGATCGGGGTGGTGGTGTCCTAACATACTAAAGACATTCCTCTGTGACTTTGCTGGTTTATGAACTCAAGGCTCCTCATCCCTTCCACTTTCCTTGTCCTACATCAGCTGCCTGTTGCTCAGATAAAAGGCACTTGAGGCTGAACCTGACCGTACTGCAGAAACATGAGAGCCTGATTCGGTGTGGGCATGCAAGGATGGCGTAGCCACCTTTCTGTTTCTCTCTCTGGCACACACACATACACACCCCATGTAGCTTCATGGACAGTCAAGTCAATAAACGGGCAAAAACCATCCCTTGGACAACGAGAGGGAAGAACCTTCCCACTTCCTAACCGTGTCCTTTCTGCCTCTTCCTTTGTGAGGAGGAAAAGAATTAAGCCAAACTCTTACTGTAAAGCTTCTCTGAAGAACTGATAGGCGCCGTGGTTGTGTTTAAATACCGTTAACATGACTTTCTTCATCTGTGTGCTGACGAAAGTTTGGGAGAAAGGTCAACGTTAGCTTGATGCAAGAAAGCATTCCTCAACACTTCTCTAGAAGATCAATCACTTTGATTAGTTCCTAGTTCCAGATATAAAAAGGGGGATTATTTTACACACACACAACCCAAGACCTTGAGGGAACTCAATCTGGATCAGGTTAAATATTTAGTGGGCTTTGGCATTTAAAAAAGAATTATATTGTAGCCCAAGGAAATTAACATCGAGAAAAGCAGAGGGCTGCATTTGAAGCTGAACAGAAATGATAATGCACCATATTGTTTGTGGGCATGGGCTTATTCTCTTTGAGAAGCATAACATTCTATTTTATAGTTCATGCAACTGTTTTTCAATATTGTGAGTGGGGTGCTAGGACTGGAAGCGCTGGGTTGCACAGATTCGTAAACGTGCAGTTAATATTTCAACAAAAAAGAAAGGAATCTTTCTATGAACGCTTCTGCCACTGAGGTCCACACAGCACAGCCGTCCAGATACGGCGCCCACTGGCTTTTAAATGTGGGAGCACATTTCAGCATGTGCTCCAGCTGGACAGAACTAGGACTGCAACCTCCAAAACAGGATTTGAAAGAGAAAGAGCGCTGCGCTTACCTGTTTGCCACGAGCTGCAATATCTGTAGGAGAAACTTCCCCAGACCCTTCCTTCTCGTTTTGCTTTCCAGCTGCACTTCGTAGCTAGTAAGATACAAAGGTAGGGGGACTGTAAAACCAATATACGTCTCATTCAAGCACACTCAAGAGCGGAAATCCTCCCCTAACGCTGGCTGTTTCTGCCTCCGACGACATGTCAAATTTGCAAGTTTCTTTACAGAAATGATCCCTTGAACTTCAGCCAATCTCTCTGCAATTTTACGTGAAGAGCTTTCAAACACAAAGAATTATATATATTATGATTCAATTCTTATATATATATATCACCTTAGCGTGCAGACGATGACCTTTTCAAAATCCTCACGAGTTACACACAGTAATCCAGACCTTCGTTCCTGTTACCCTGACTCCAAACCCGAGGACATTCAGACGTCCCAATTTCTCCGCACACCCCTCTCGCCCCGAAAGGCCTACATGGGAAGACGTACCAATAGAGTACCTCGTCCCCACATTCCACGTCGAATCGGAAGTGTGAGAAAGCGACAGGAAGGGCGCCGTCTTCCAAAGCGATGAGGTACCATGCGCGGTCGTCTGTCATCTCGTCCCGTTTCTCGCGGTCTTTCCAACCCCATTCGCTCTGCTCATACCTTGAAAGTGGGGGGCGGTGGGGGGGGAAGCACAACAATGAGAAGGGGGAGAAATGTCAGCTTGGCAACCCCCTCCTCCAAGAAGAAAGAGATCAGCCACACAGGGAGAAAATGCTCCCCCCATAAGGAGTGGCCTGTATTGTCATTTAGACAAGGCAGGGAAGAGCAGGATCCCTTTAACCCTTCTCCCACCTCATCATCCTCTTAGGAATCACTGAATTCAACCCCTGTCAAGGAGGCACAGCGGGGAATCGAACTCCTCAACTATGAGCCGCTTCTCTGGAGCGCTCGGGGGCAAACTCTAAGGTGGACACAAGGACAGAGCTGTCAAGACAGACAGGGAAGTCTTGGGTGCTTTAAAAGGAGAAAAGCGGGGTAAAAATATTTTAAATAAATAAGCAATAAAAATTAAATAAATAAGTATTCTGTAATACAACTGACACCTAGGGGTCAGAGGGCAGAGGGCAGTGCAGACGCTGCCTGTGACTAAGAACTCCAAAACACAGAAGAACTGGCTTGATATACTGTATTTTTCCGTGTATAAGACGCCCTCCACTTTTCTAATCCAAAATTAAGAAATCTAAGTGGGACTTAGCAAGTGTAGGGGGAAAGGGATCAAAGTGCTGCAGGATCGCTTTGATCCCTGTTTTCCCCTCCACTTGTTTTTGTTCTCTCCTCAGCTTACTTCCGTGTATAAGACGACCCTCAATTTTTAGTCTAAAGTTTTTAGACAAAAGTATAGTCTTATACATGGAAAAATACGGCAAACTCACACAGCTGTGCTATCTAGCTCAAGACTCTTTGAACTTCAAAACAGCAGCCCTTGCAGCCCTGATTCCTTTCTAGCTGGAGATGCTAAGGACTGGACCTGGGAGCTCCCGATGGGCTCTACCACCACAGAGAGGAAGGAGGGCCCACCGGACACTCCCTCCATGTCCACAAGGGCTAAGCACACCTCCCACTGCCTCCCGCTACCCCAGAGTGCCAACCGGGCCTTACAAGGTCTGCATGTTTGTTTTGGTTAGTTCAAAAGCCCAGTCGAGGATGGCCGGGTCCAGATTTGAGACGCGTTTACATTCAATGGAGACATTTAACCTGCAGCAAGACAAGGAAGGAAGGAAAAGAGAGGGTCAGGAGTGAGTGATGGAAAAGTTTGCTTTGTGATACAGCGAGCAAAGGGACATGCAAAACAGCTTGTATGGAAGAGCAGCGGCATGCACTTTACATCCAGCCTTGGGTGCGTGGGTACATGGGTATTCATTCATTCATTCATTTTTTCTTTCGAGGGACGCCAGGCAGATTTCAGGTAGGTATGAACTTTGAAGCTTCCAATTTACTCATCTTAAGATAACAGAGTATGAAGACTTGGACCAGGAAGAAGACCTGGGTTCAAATCTTACAGGCCAAAGGGGGGGAAAACACCCCCAAAACCACAGACCTTTACTCACCCGTTTCTGTCGTACTTCTTGAACACTGGAAAGGCTTCTAACGGATCATCCAACTACGGAAGGAAAAAAGGCCAATATGAACACCATGAAATGAGGAGAGGAAGCAAATTGCCTCTTATTTACGTAATCCAAGTTAACTGTTCAACTTACCCGACGTTACTCTGTACACCTTTTTCATAAAAGGTGTTATTTTTGAATTCTGAGTGACTGAAAAGGCCTAAATCAATTCCTTAACTTACGGCCATTCACCTTTGAAAGACAGCTGCTGGCATTACGTCAGTGGGCATAACTAATAGGATTCTAACCACTGCTTTAAACTTTCCATTCTCCTACCAGTTTACAGCCTTAACTACGTGACAGCTGGTTGAACCAGTCCTTCTCTCCTATGATTTTGTACCAAGAGGAAATCACACACGTTATTATTCTCTCGGCTTCAAAGCATTATCCCAAAACATAGCAGCTTTCCCCCAAAATAGTACCAATACACCTTAAGCACCATCCTCTGCCAGGTGACTAAAAGTAATACCTCTTGGGCTACAAAGCATTTCTAGAATATAATAACCATTATTTCTCAAATGCCTTCTTTAAAGACATAGGGCATCTTAACAGTTAAGATAGAATAACAAGTACTCCAAAATAAAACTCAGATTCAGTAGGTATTAATAATAATAATAATTATCAGTATGCATAGCCAAGTTGATTCTGACTTTAATAACTTAGGCAAAGCTTTAATTTGCTGCCAAGGCACACCTTGAAAGGCATTCCATAACTGATGTGCTAATGAAGAAGCCCCTCTTCTTCTGCATCTCCATACAGTGAACGTGTTTCAACAGTGGGACACATAAGCCTCCCAAGCAAATCTTAATGACTGGTTCCAAAGCGTTTATATTCTGTCAAGTCAGAAACAACTTGTAGTGACCCCAACAGGGCTTTCAAGATTAGTGAGATAGTTAAGGAGTGGTTTTAATAATTCAGCACTCTCTGTACGCTTTCATAGCTGAGTGGAGATTTGAACCCAGGTCTCCTAGTTCGTCGTTCTGTCCATGACATCACACTGGACATCCTCAAAGCATTTAGTGATTTGGAAACCACAATCTACACTTTGAACAGACCCGATGTGTATAGTAGGACTGCTGTATCGGCTGGGGACCGGATCCAAGCCCCCACCCTGTAGATGCCGAAAAGGGCAGGAATAGAAACACTATACTGTATATATATAGCACAGTCTCCGGTTCCCTCTAGTGGCCAGTTCTGGTAATACACCTTGGAAATGTGCATTTCTGGGTTTTATTTAACATTTTCAGGCAGTGGATAAATAAAACTATAGGCACTGATCCCGTGGATACGGTGGTGCTATTGTATTGACAGCCAGTGCAGGATTCTCAAAGACGTTTTTACATCCAGTTTATTTGACATGCTTTGTTCTACTTGCAGCCTCTAGAGATCTTCAAGGACAAGCTTAGGCAGTCCGAACTGTAGTAGTCTAAACAGGAAGTTATGAGTGTACGAACTGTGATGTTCTGATTGTACTTATGCAGGAACAGGTCATGGCTAGCAGACCAACTAAAGCTGGTACTCTCTAAGCCATGAAATCGAAGAGTCTGCAGTGATAAGAGATGGGCTCAAGCACCTTTGGGAGAAAAGGCTGCCCACCCAAATTACGGACAGGGCAACTGGCGAGCTACAGAATTTCTGCCTTGTTAGGATTTAGCTTTAGTCGACTGCCTTTCAACATCTATTACCTGCACAGCCTTCCTTTAACTCCAGGGACAAGGAAAATACAAGGATCCTCCGTGTACCGTCACACGTTCTGCTGTTCTCAGACAGTCTTCTCCACATGGCTGGGTGGGGGGGCAGATATGTAATCTTTCACACATGGCTAAATTCAGCTGCTAACGGCTCTGCTCAGCACGGTCAAAGGTGAACATCTGGAAGCCCAGGGAATATTGAGTAGCTTGCCATTTTGGAATTTGTTTTAATTGAGATTTTAAAGCAACACCATGCTTCCAAGTAGCCCCGGTAGCCAAATAAAATGCCCTATGTAAGAAGAGCACAGGACTCCTGGCTACTCTAATAGTTTCAAGAAACAAGGAACTTCACAGGCTTGCTATGCAAGTTTTGTTGGTGGAAATCTCCTTTTTTACACAATTATGACTGGGGGGGGGCGCGGAGAAGCCCTGGCCTCTTTTTCACTAGGCAACCTGGGCCACTATATCTGTTATACCTTCAAAACGACCCTGCAAGGTAGGTTGGATCAAGGCTGCTAAGTGAGCTTTGTTGCTGAGCAGGGATTCAAATCTGGGTCTCCTTGGTACTGACCTAACACCTTAATGACGATATCACACCGGCTCACCAACAAGTGAGGCTAAAAGAGGGAAGGGGGCTCACTTTATTGGCCGCTTCGACCTTGGCACAGACAGCGTCCATGGCCGCCCGCTCCTCCAGCCGCTTCTGCTTCTTCTCCTTGCCTTTACTTGACTTCCTCTGAAATAAAAAGCGGTTGAGCTGTAAATAAGACTCTTTTTTTAAAACATCAATTATCAGGTTAGCTGGGCTTCACCCTGCCATTGCATCATTAAACATCAGAGACTACCCACCTCGGCAACCGTTCTTCGGCAAGATCTGCGCGCTCCAAACCAGCAGACGGCAGGAGCAGAGGAAGTTTAGTGGTTAATTTAAAAATGCCCTTGGAACGGTTTACAAAAATAAAACCAAAACGCATTGATAAAAGTCTCAAAGCTTGCAAGAAAATTAGCCCAAACGGGGTCAAGACCTTAAGCTGCGCAAAGGTTTAGAAAGAAGCCATGAAGTTTGAACAGTGAAAACAAAAACAGAAAAGACACATCAAGGACTGAACGCCTGCCCACGCAAGAAGGACTGAGCCTTGTGTCGGTGAGAGCGCCAGGCAGATCGCTCTTGGGAGATCATGCCACAGATGTGTTTGTTGCTGTTGTTCTTATGGGCTGTCACGTTGCCTCTAGCTCCTGCTGACCCTATGAATGAGCGATCCCCAAACTGTCCTGTCCTCAAGCGCCCTGCTCAGCTCTTGTTAACTCAAAACCTGGGGCTTCCTTTATTGAGTCAGACCATCTCATAGTTGGCCTTCCTCTTTTCCTGCTGCCTTCCACTTTTCCCACCATTATTGTCTTTTTCAGAGAATCCTGCCTTCTCAGACACTCAGTTTTGACATTTTTTGTCTCCAGGCTTCTTTCTGGCAGTCGCAAAGCTCTCCTCCAGCACATTTCAAATGAATGCTTTTCTTGTCAGCTTTCCTTACTGTCCAGATTTCACATCCATAAGGTAAGGGTAAAGGTTCCTCTTGACAATTTAGTCCAGTCGTGTCCGACTCTAGGGCATCGTGCTCGTCCCTGACTCCAGACCGTAGAGCCAGCGTTTGTCTAAAGACAGTTTCCATGGTCACGTGGCCAACGTGACTAGATACGGAACGCCCTGACCTTCCCACCATGGTGGTACCTATTCATCTACTCGCATTTTTACATGCTTTCGAACAGCTAGGTTGGCAGGAGCTGGGACAAGCGACGGGACCTCACTCTGTCACGTGGATTCGATCTTACAGTTGCTGGTCTTCCAACCTTGCAGCACAGAGGCGGTTCAACCCGCAGCGCCACCACATCCCTATTTCACATCCATACATGCCAACTATTAAGAAGATCTCTAGTTGTTTGGAAGAGGGATTGCAAAATGGCCTTTATGATTAGGCAGGACCATATGGAGCAGGCAGCGAAAGTATTGTTTATTTATTAAAAATATTTATATCCTGCCTCCCTCCTCAGCAGGATCCAGAATGTCCCCTATTACTAGCTTCTGATAAGCAGGAACGGAGTAACTCATTAGAGCTCTCCGGCTGCTGCCCTTCAAAAGGAGGAGACAACTTTGAAGAGACAGTTTCTTGTCTGTTGTTGTTGTTTAGTCATTAAGTTGTGTCCGACTTTTCATGACCCCATGGACCAGAGAGCACACCAGGCCCTCCTGTCTTCCACTGCCTCCCGGAGTTGGGTCAAAGTCATGTTGGTTTCTTGTCTAGCTGTTGTAAAATTTAATACTCAGAAACCAGAAGGTATATACCACAATAAGGACTCCACAGCAGGATGCAATTTGCTTAGCGCCTAAATCATGCTGTCATACAGTATTTAACTCCACTAGATAAAATAGGCAGGCAAGCCAGCCCTTGATCTGCAGTAATGATTGAAATGCTCTCTCCCTCCCTGCTTTTATCAACGACTAGAATTTTGTGGGGTTAATCTCCTATTTAAACCAATTAAAGTTTGCATATTTTTAAAAAGCTGTCAATGAAGAGATGCATGATTTATGCTGTGCTTGCTAACGAATCAGCATCTTGCAAAGTTGGCTCCAGCACCACCAAAGAACACCAGGTGATGCCTAGAACGTCCAAGTTCGTGGCTAACTCCACTTGATAATTGCTCTTATACAATTTTTTATGTCGTGTCTTGAGAGCCATAGGGAACAACGCCAGAGTAGAACAGAGCCTAGGCGTCTTGCTTAAGAAAACACTTTCTTATACTGCACCGGCTTTTCCTACCTGTACTTCTGCAAGCCAACACAAATCTGGCTTGGAAATACGGCTCTTAAAAGAAAAAGAAGAAGAAAAAAGACGGACTGGCTTCTGAAACACTGTGAAGTTTTGCCAGGCGGGTGAGTCAGTGAATTCTGATGGTTTGAAGCCAAAAAAACATGTGCTTAACCTCCACACAACCCTTCCACCCCCATTAAAAGTTCAAATGAGGACATCGCCCTTATGCTGTGGCTGGAAAGCCAATTCAGAGTCAGTGAGAAAGTGGGGCAGGAAAACTGCCAGTCTACAAACCGAAGGGAGCAAAACGCTGTGCTTGCATCTCTCTGGCAGAAAGAGGATCGGCGTCTCTTCTGGGCTGGTGGGGGAGGAGAAAACTGGAGAACAACACGGACGGTGCATTTCTTACTGCCTTCGGCTGACATGCATACACCACAATAAAAATAAAAATAATAAATCCTTGCAGGTGCTGACAGGTTCAGACAGAAGGGAAGCTATTTCAATGTGGAGAGAGAAAAATAAGTTTTGGACGGACATTAACCCTCTTTTATTTCCTTACAGCCTTGCACTGTAAGTGTGCAATAAAATACCTGCCCGCTTGCTCATTCACACAGATGGATGCAATTTCAAAACAAATAAAGAAAAGACAGAATCAGTTCCCTTCGTTTTTTTTTTACTTAAGCTTTCCTGCCGGGCTGTATGAAAGCAGTTCTGATCCACGACAAGAACACGAGGAAGCAGCAAAGGCTAAAACTGACCCACGGCATAGATCAGCATAAGGCGCCCGTCTCTTTAAGAGCCAAGCAGGGGGGGAAAGAATGTTAGCATTTTATTAAATTCTGAAATACAATTTACGAAGTACAACTCCATCACTGCATTTATCATTTTTCACTTCATTTCGTAAGTTCTTATCTGTACCATTTCTATTCTTTGCTCTTGTGTAATAAACAAGCACTCTTTTACTTTACACAGAACAACCTTTCAGAGTACCGTTATTATCATGCAAAAGAGCAAACAGTCACTATAACAGGTTGAGCTGCCTGTTGCACCTTTCAATAACACAGATAATATGACATCTTCAGATATTATACAAATCTGATTTGTCCCCACCTGACCAGGGACGTGAACACTCACCTCAGCCCCCAACTGAACATTCTCCTGATTAACTACCAAGGTTCCTGCTTCATCATATATACCGAAGTGAAAACTCCTGTGACGTTTCCGTTGCAGTACACACTTGTCTCAGCACCCCAATGCTGGTCTCCTCTTCCAGGCTGCCCTCTTTTTTTTCATGCTCCTTTGGTTACATCTCTTAGCAGCCGGCCCCCCCACAGAGAGACCCCCCAATTTCCTCCTCTTTGCATAATGCACCCCCAGTTTCTCCCTGCAAATTTTCTGCAAATGGAAAGTTTGCAGGGAGAAACCGGGGGGGGGTACCTTCCGCAAATGCCTTCCTCTCTCCGGACCGTGGTTTTGGGGGTCCCGGTCACCCCAAAGGATCCACAATCGCATGAACCCCATCCCTCCCCAAACCCTCCCAGGCTGTTGCCTTCCTCCCCCCCTGCCATCCCCAGACCCCACCTTCTCTCAGCCCCTCTCCCTTTCTGCACCTACTCTTCCAAGTTCTCCTCAGCTGAACTTCCCTCCTTGTAAACTTTCCACACAACCCACAATAAACAGGCCCCCCTTCTTCCTAATCAGCCCCCCCCCAAAAACACATTTAACTCCAGGGCACATTAAATCCCCCTAAAAAAACATATATATGGGGGTTCCTCCACCACGACCCCCCTCCC